ACATTCCTTCAATGAGTTAGCAATACTTACCTTATCCTAAATGATGATGATCTTCTTCTCAAGCTCAGTGATGACAGAATTGCTTTCAAAAGCTTTATTTTTTCCTTCATTAATCTATTTCTTTAGATCATCATTCTCTCTTTTTGCTTGGATAAGCTCTTTTGCTAGCTTATTGATTACCTGTTTGACTTCAATGGTTTCTTTGACCATCTTCTTCAACCTTTCATCGTCCTTTTCAGCCTCTTGCACCTGTTCATCATGAACCTCTTTGTCTTCGTTATCTGAAATATCAGAGTCAGATAAAGACATGACATGAGAACCTCTATCAAGAAAAGCGAAATAAGAAAAATCATTAGTATCATTCAGAGGTGAATCACTATCACTCAAAGTAGAATTTTCAAACATCGAAACTTTCATTACTTTTCTTTTATTCCTATCCATTTGTTATTTCCTAGGACTAGGACAAACATTATATGCATGACTTTTGCCACCACAATTCCAGCAAATGAATTCAGTTTCTTTTGATTCTTCTATTTTCTTTTCATCAAACCTAAACTTTGATGTTTTGTCAAATTTTTTAGGATTAACCATGTTGCTATTCCTACTCCTCTATTGCCTTCACAAAATCTGATTGTATTGCATTGAGAAGAATGCAAGATCATCATTAGAGTTGCCATCCACAGAATTCTCAACCTGTGTAGATTTTAAAGTAAGATTTTTCTCCTTCTGACTTAAATCAAAATTCTGCATCTCAAATTTTTTTAATGAATCTACCATCTTATCAACTTGACAAGTAGTCAAATCCCAATGTTCAGAGATGGTTTCAACCCTAATCTAGAATCTTTTATGTAAAGACCTTAAAATTTTCTCACAGATTTTTTTATCACTAACTTTTTTTCCTAAGTGACGCAGTTCGAAAATTATTTCAAGAAGACTAGAATAAAAATCAGAAAAGGATTCATCTTCTTTCATCACAATGTTGCCAAATTTATGAGAGAGTGACTGAATTTTGGACAACTTCACTTTAGAAGTTCCTTCATGAGTAATCTGCAAAATATCCCAAGCTTCTTTAACAGTTTTACAATAAAAAATTCTATCATATTCAGATGGAATAACATAATTAATAATTGAATATAAAGCTTTGGCATTAGCATCATTATGCTCAGTTTCAATAGCAGTAAAAGCAAAAGTATTTTTTAACTCTTTGACTATTTTACCATCCACAGTTGTATCTATTGTAGGAGGTGTATAGCCAGTTTCAACTATTGCCCAAGTTTTACCACCAGAATTTTGCAAATAAGCTTTTATCTTTGATTTCCAAAAATTGTAATTATCTCCTTCAAATAAAGGACCACGTTGATTAGAATCGTCTTCTTTCAACGCATAAGACATGATTAAAACAATTTTTGTCAACAAAACTAAAGTTTCCAACAAGGATCAACTCAATGTATCGAGATTGGCTTTAATACCAAATTGTGAGTCGTACGCAGCGGAATATACTTTAGAAAGCTTTGTTTGTTTTAAAACAGATCTGTGTATTTACCGACTTTACTTATTTTAACAATTAAATAATTAATCACATGCAGATAAAATAAAGCAAAGTATAAAGTTAGTGATGATACAAGGATTTTAGCGAGGAAACCCCAGTTAATAAAATACGTCAACTGTTATGGGAAAAATCTCGTGGACTGTGCAGTCCAAAATAAATCAATCCACTATGCTCGAAACAAAGTATACTGAACTTTGACTCTGGCTCACACCCTATCGTTCTACCAAGCACCAACTGCTGACAATCTTTTGGCTTTGCGACTCCCCGTCCATCAGCAACTTGACCTCAGGCTTATGCTTGATATTTGTAGAGGAGTAGCAGGTAGATCAGACAACACTCCTCGAATGCTCCAACCCTTTCAAAGTGTGATTGCTTTTACTTCTATTCTTCAATCGTCTGAAATTGATATAGAAGAAAATTTGTTTTCGTCTGATCGATGTAGATGCAACTGTATGATCACGATCAGTATTTGAACACCACAACTCTAAACTCAATATGTGTTTATGTGTATGTGTTCTAGAAAGATGACAAAAAAATCAACTCTGATTTTCTGCAAAAATAATATTCCTAAGGCTTTTTAAGAATAATGAATGTGTAGAATAAAAGCCGTAAATAAACCAATGTATATGACATGGTTTATACAGAGGTTTACAAAGTCCTATTCCTTCTGAAAATAAAGGAAATTTTGTACATAGGACTTGGAAGGAAAGTTGGATAAAAAATGAATTAGATAGAACAAGGAAACTGGACTTCTTTTACAATCAGGACACTTGGAACCGGTTCCCACATTTGATACCGGTTCCCAAAGGATAGTGAGTATTCTTGAAGTTAAGCTTCTGGAACCGGTTCCCAAATCTTGGTACCGGTTCCCACTTGACAAAACCCAACTTAAACTTGGAATTTTTGTATCTGGGAAAGTCTAAACATATACCATGTAGGTAATTGTGTCCTAAGTGGGAAACGATATCCTAATGTGTTGGTCTTTCCTTTTCAATGAGCAACATACTTTCCTCTTCTATTCAATCTCTGAATTTCGCAGTCGATGTCAAGTCTGATATGATAACTGAAATTACAACTCGACTAGGACTGTTTTGTTAACGAAATATGTCAATTTACAAAAATATATCTCACATATAACTCGAACCCAAATATTTGGACGGGTCGGTCGGGTTTCGTGGGTCATTTTATTTATTTATTTATTTTTACAAATATGCAAATTACATTTTTCTTTTTTTCATGTTTGTAAACATCAAAATTTTTAAGAAAATGTAGAACATTCCTAAGCATACCATTTTTCCGTCTATTACAATTGAAAGAATACAAGAATTGTTTCTTTTGGGTAATTAAAAATATATATATGCAATAATATGCAACTTTATAATTTTTTTATATTATTTTTGGAACTCTTTTAACTTCATTTGATATTGGAATACCATTAAAATAAAAAAAAAATATAGTTTAAAACTAATAATTATTGTAATATATTAAATAAATTATATATAACTGCTATCATATTTTATACCACGAATTTTCATTAACATTCATATTATATCCATATGCATATATATGCGTGTTTTTGTAACTTGCATCACGCAGCTTTGTTTACTATACCATATTTAACTACAATCATTTACTATACCATATTTAACTACAATCCAAAGTTAAAGGAAATGAATGTTTATCTATTATTTTTTTAAAAAAAATATTAACAAGATTTTCTGATTTGTTTTTTTATTTTTCCAGTCAATTAACAAGAATTTATTTCTTTTTTTTTACTTATTTTTTTTCTAAAAATAACCGGAATAATTGGGAAAAGGCTTCAACAAAACAACAGCAATGTTAGAGGGCTCGTTTAATTAATTTAATTCAACTAAAAATTGAAAAAAAAATTACAAAAATTTGTTTGTTTCGACGTAAAATATTTTTTTTGAAAATATATATATATATATATATATAGGTAAAATATTCTTCTATTTTTACTTTGTCGATGTTTGGCAAATATTTACGTCGAGGTTGAGGTCGAGTACATCGGGCGGAGCATGTAAAATAATTTGCCATGGATAAGTTATTTTTGTTAAATTTTAATATTTTTTTATTCGTAAATATTTTACAACAACTGAACACCAAAAAAATATTTTTTGAAAAATATTTTACATTTACGGAGCCTCAATTAAGCAAAAGTCATTCTAATTACCATATTACAGTATAATATATATATGCATATATATTGTGTTATTGAGATATGATTTGAAAATTTAAAACCAAACAAACGTTCAAACTTTCATTTGAGAAGCATGGACAAGTTAGGGTTGGATTGTAAAATTGTTTACCTTGGAATTTTGGGTTGGGTTCGGATTAAACCCAATCCAATCCAATCCAAACAAGCTTGGGTTTTGATAAAACACAATCCGATTTGAGACCAATTTCTAAATTTAAATGCCCAAGTTCTAAAACTTCTAGGCTGAATTCGGATTGGACTGGGTTAGCCGGCCCAAGTTACACCCCTATTACGTAGTACAAGAAATTTAACTTTTATAGTGTTACATATTTGTGTTGAAAATTAAAAGAGTGTAGAACATTGAAAAGTTTGTAGGTGTAGGATATTCCTTCTTATTTTATTTTTTATTTTATTTTTTTTGCAGAATCGAAAGCTGTACAGGGTAAAGTGAGGTCCATTACACAGACAACTATTAAACTTTAATAATTAATTGGAGTGATTCAATTTCATCAATGAATGTGTTCCAGTTTACATCATGTTAGACTGGGCGAGACCTAAATCCTAGTATAGGAGTGTGTGTAAATGATGTCAAAAGAATTCCCAGAAATATCTCTAACATAGAAAAAAAAAAGGGGGTTTCATGATGCCTCCTTGCATTTCTATTCTGAAAAATTATCAAGAAAAAGGACTCCCTATTAATCAACTAAACAAAATAAAAATTTATGCAATGCCAAGCTCTCAAACCTGAAATATATACCTTTTTGCCCCTAATCAATCTTTCCCGCAACTAAATGCCAGAAAACTAAATCCTTGGTAAGCATATAACCAAAAATAAATAAATAAATCACTTGGCATGTAATAGATCAAATAAAGAAGGTAATGTAATGGTCTGATCTCTTTGTTTTTGTCATTTAGAAGACTAAATTGACACCAACAAATGGTTAGTTGTACTCATTGTCTACTTTTATTTTATTTTATTTTATTTTTTTTAAAGATCAGATAAGTACTCACGCACACATTGCCCACACCTGGACTCGAACCCCTCCCTCCTCTTTAAGTATAAGGAGGTTATTCCATTGGGCTAACCGCCTATTGGTATGCTGAGAGGGAAACCTAAGAGACATTGTGTAATTGAATTGCTTCCCTGCGTCACTAACTTGATATCAAACACCACCAACAAATGGTTAGTTATACAACCTGAAAGTTCCTAATTCTTTCATTGAAACAGTAAACAAACAAAAGACGCACTACAGATATATTATTTACATACAAAGTAATGATCCATACCATTCGAAAAAAAAAGTAATGATCCATTCACAAGCAGTTAGCTAACCAAAAGTTCATGTAACATATGAGTAAGTTCTTCAGAGAGAGAGAGTCACAAACCATGGTGTTTAGGCCCACCTTAATTGAAAAAACACACAATCAATGGAAGCACACAATTCTTCTCGAACACTAAACTACAAATTGCGTTGGTATATAACAGAAAGGTGCAGGTCTGTAGATCAATCAAGGTTCCCCAACACCAGCAAAGTACGGGTGCTTCAGTGCATCAAAAGCTGTAATTCTTTCTCTTGGGTTGTAGCGAAGCATTTTCTGCGTATCAAAAGCCATGGTATGAGTATTAAGAGTTAAAATTTTGTAGCTGAACCCGTAAAGCTACTTCTTTTATTTTTTTTTATTATTATTATTTTTATTTCCTTGGACAAAACATGCTTTAAAATCATCTTTTTTATAGTTAAGAAACTATTTACCCGATTGTCATAATTAGATAAGCCGGTATCCATCTTAAGAGCTGCTAATCCCAAGTGGTTAAAAGAAAGAGTGTTAAGCTTCCTCTGAGTTGCTATACTAAATTACTAGTCGATAATTTGCAGCCAAATGAATTCTTGGCTCCTCATGACAGAACCGAGGCCTTCTAATTTCCACTTAATTATAATGAGGAGAAACTTACAGAAAGAAGATCGACTCCAGCTGGTTCAAGATCAGGAACTACTTCTGCTAGATTCTGCATCCAGAAGAAAAAGAAAAAAAGTAAATATATTTCCAAGATTCTAAAGCAGGAAAAATAAAACCACAATTCAACCAGAACCTGTACTACCTTAGGAGGAGTATTCTCAGCAATACCCAAAAATTGACAATGTTCAGTCACTTCAGGCCAGGTTTGTTTATCTGGTATGCCCAATAACCTTCATTAGAACAAAGATGTAGTTAGTATAGCACCATCACAAGACATTAAGATACGAACAACCAGTGTCTCTATGGAGTGTCCAAAATAATACGCCACCTGAAAATTTTGTATATAAGTCCAAATTCATCTGAAGCACAAAAGAGAGGCTCCTGGTTACACATCTCAGCAAATATGCATCCCACAGACCACATATCAACTTCAGTGGAATATTTCAAGCGATTGAAGAGTTCAGGTGCCATGTAAGCTGGAGTTGCTATCTGAAGTGAAACACCAACAATATGAGAACATAGACAGCAATTGCTAGTGGAAGATTCAGAATGAAATGAAAATAAAGGTACTGAATGTGGTGTTAAAACCTGCTTAGACATTGATCTTGCCATTAAATCAGAACAGGGTATATTAAGAAATTGTTTTGAAATTTTGGTAAGGTGTAGGCCTCTTTGGATGACCCTTCTTGAATTGAATGGTTCCATTTACATTTTATATTACTAGTAGTATTTTAGGTCAGAAGTCCATCACCCCGAATGTATAAAATTGAGAAATAATGTATAAAATCATGATCCAAAAAGTCTGAGACAGTGAAAGGTGAATATTGGTACCCCGTCGCCTTCAGTATATTTATTGAGAGGAACACCAACAGGCCTGGCTGATCCAAAGTCTGCAAGCTTCAGGATTTTTTCACTGGAGTTTATAAGCAAATTCTGTGGTTTAAGATCTCGGTGCACAATTTTGTAAGAATGACAATAGGCAAGACCACTGAGTATCTGATGCAGAAACCTCTGCAGGGAAAAAGAACATGAGAAAGTAAATCATAAAATTAACTGTTGGTATCCCTTCTTTTTTTTTTGATAAGTAACTGTTGGTATCCCTTATTATCATCTTTATCACCTTCACAGGGAAAACCAGGTAAATTTTAGTATTTAATAGGGCATTAAGATGCTACATGAAAAATTATATCATCTCATATGTTATGCATGGCATATGAAATATTCTTTTCCTTTTGTTGTTACTGTTGAACTAGTCTATCAGTACTTGTTATACTTTTTATTTACTTTTTTTTTTTTGGGAGGGGGCGGGTTTACATTTTAGTCAGGTTAGAATTTCACCAACAGTTCTTGTTCCACATACGTTGTACTCGTTTCTGTTTCCCATCACTAATATGTGTTAAAATGCTTTGTAAATAAACATCAATTAAGTACATCCAAACACCCTAAGAAAAGGAAAAATGCTAAGTACATGTGCTTACATAATTCACAATAACTACAAATAGTGAGGTCAGTATTAGTCAAGATACAAACAACATTACACTTGCCCAGGAAACATTAGCTAAAATAATTCAGATGGTTGATAAATTTTATCTTGTTCATTGGAGCAACGAAGCTTATAAGCTACAGAGTAGAAGAGTAGTAATAACTTTGAAATCATTTACATAGTATCAACAAGGAAAATGTCACTCACTTTTATCAAATGTGGATCCTCGGCAGTCTCTGAATGAGTATACATGAACTCCTTCAGATCAATATCCATATACTCGAAAACAAGAAACACTTTATTCGTTCCACTCTCTACAACTACATCTAACAACCTGTAAGCAATAAGTCCATCAATTGATTTCTTAGGCTAAACCAAGATGTACATAAACTTAATAGGTAAACACAGCCAGTGACTCAAAGTCAATTGTCAACTTAAAAATCCGTAAAACCAGTATCATAATATGAGTTTGAAGGATTTTTCTCTCAATATGTATTACTTATTGTTTCGTAAAATTGCTAATATTTTTTCAGTGTGCAAACATGGAGGTGCAGGTTATGATTTTGCAAGTGCGTAAGGTGTTTCCTGCTGAAAGTAAAACATATGTAGGAAATTATTTCAAAACATCATCATATGAACAAAATTTAACAACCAAAATCAAAACACAAAACCTAGTGGACGAAATATTTATAGTTATAGGAAATCATCATTTTCAAACGAAATTTTATATCACAAAACATAAGCCTGAGCAGTGTTATTCATCGTGTTGGTATACATATGAGCAAGCAGTTCACCAAGTGGGCCTATTATCAATTTATGATGGCTTCCTGTCTTTAACTCAAAAGAGAATGGATACCCAAGCTCAATATTTAGAGTTGGCAGAAGTGAGGTGGAGATGACTGAAACTATTCTAACTGAACCTGAGAGATAGGCAAGTAAATTTGTCACCTACAATATTAAATTCTTAAATTTGTTGACAAGGCCTTCATACAAGAGATTAAGTCCACCATCAATATATGTCACAAAAAAAATTTCTAGATTAAAATTAACACATGGTATTGGAGCTTGCCATGCGTCCGTAGGGGGCTAGTCTCACCCAAATGGTGAGACACCCCACTCTAGTCACCAAAAATGAAAGAAATAAAAGAAACTTCACCATCAATACACATTCATGTTTCATCAATCGTACCACGAAAATTGGTTGCTTCCTCCTAATCATATCTTGTTGATATATATTTCAGCAATATTTAACAGTATAATATACTTTTCTAAACTGTTCTTTTGAATGGATCTCTATCATGATTTAACTTTTGGAAAACTATAAGTTGCCAACATTAAAATGTTCTTTAAGCCACATAAGAAGAGAGGTCAGGGTTACCTCATACACAATCTGAATGAGACTAAATTTAATTTTCTTTTCCTAGGTTAAAGTTAATTCGGAAAATGAGAGCAGTGAGAGTTGTGATCAGATACCTCATGGCAGGTTTTATTATTTTTCAAAGTTTAATATCCAGTTATTATATTTCATATTTTCATCTTATAATTTGTAATTTGTAACTGTAAACCAACATAAATATTGGGGCAATTACTACCTGACAATGTTGCTATGCTTCATCTCTCTCAGCAAAGAGATTTCTCTGATTATTGAACCCGCCACGCCTTCAAAATTGTCAAAAACATGAAGCCCTTTTAAAGCAACAGTTTCATTTGTCTCACGGTTGTAGGCCTTGTAAACCGACGCAAAGGTTCCGACTCCAATATTCTCAAGTTTCTCGTACTGTCAATTCATCATCATTGTGAGATTTTAGAAGCAAAAACTAATGGAGCAATTTCAGATAATACACACTAAATCATATCTTTTACCTTCTCCATACTTATCAGGTCTCACTGCCCTGTCATAGAAATAAATACAAAGACAGTGATTTAGATTTTACAAATATGAAAACATATTTAAAAAAATTAAAAATCATAATCTGTAGAGTAATTGTCTTAGGACTATGTTTGAATTGTTTATGGAGGTCAGTTTATTGGCAAGAACATACATACATCTCAAGCAATGCTTTGTTCAACTGCAATTAATTTCCCTCTACTCCATGACTTCTACCTGACTCAATTCGACAGATCCTTATGCCTCTTCGGCAAAGCTACGGCCTAATTGGATCATGTTTTTGTTCCATCAAGGACCAGCAGCAGAGACCATCTAGTCCTCTATATTCTAATTATAAAGATTAAACTAATAAAAGATTGTATAGGTGATGAACAAACACATTTGTGTTTAATGTTGTTTATGATAAATTCTTAATGAAGGTATACCATGTATTGTAAGAGCCATTTTCAACGAATACTGGATCTAAGAATCAAAGTAAATTGTAAAGATTATTTTGCCCCTTCATTGTAAACTGTAAAGAAAGGTCTAGATATAAACTCAGGTTAAGAACCATGTTGATCTAATGTGAAATTCAGTTTTCTACACTATATCCTAGCATGAACAAAAAGCTATGTTTGGGAGTACCAACAAGGCGCCGATTCGTGCTCCCAAATGCAACACAAGGCACATTTGGGGCTTTAAGACGCATATCAAAGAGATATCAAGAAACTGCAAAGAAATCAAACATGTCACAGTCACAAATAAATTGATTGTTAGATCCTTCAATTAACTCCCTCGCGCGCGCGCGCACACACTAAATATCACACACTCTGAAAATGACATCTTAAAACACGAAGAGAGTTACTAATTTTGACACCCAAAACTCTGAAATCAGAATCAGTAAACAATATCTGAAATTGTAGGGCGAGAAATCATCGTCGTATGCGGTCAGTGAAATCATCAGATTTCAAACCCTAAAAATCTTGAATTACAAATTAAAACAACGAAGTAAAGAAAACAGAAGAATAGAAAATCAATTTCTAAAGTGATGATGACTTACAGAAAGAGAATTATCTGATTCGCAGATGGTATGTTGAAAATTTTCTTGAAGACGATTTCTTATAGAGAGAAAGAGAGAGAGTTGTAGAGAGAGAAAGAATGAGATTAAAAGTTCGTATATCTATGTGTGTATGATATGAAGATGGATGTAGAGAGAATTTCCGTGATCTCATATTTCAGTTGGGCGGTAACTGATCTGGAACGGCCTCGCGCGCCAAAACCTCTTCTCCAAGCCGTCAAGGTTTGGGTTTGGGTTAAATATATCAATAATGGAAAATGTTGGATTTATGTTTGGTTTTGTTTTTTTTTTTTTTTTAAAATAAAAAATTAGACATAATAGAGGGTTTTTGAAAATTGTTTTTTCTAAAAACTCAGTTAGGAAATAATTTCATATAATTTTTAAAAACTCAGTTTGAAAATTCTAAAAACTCCTTTTAGAATTTTTTTAATTTGGAGGTAGCTCTCTCTCAAAATAATTTCATATTTTTTAAGTTTTTGAGAATTGCTTTTGGAGTGATAAATTAAACCGCTACAGTTATCTGTAAATAATTTTTTATATATTTTTTAAATAATTTTTTGAAATCTGAACTAAACAAACTCATTTCAAACATTTATACATTTTAGGTCTATTATTTTACATTTCCTGTATTCATTTGTACGGCCCAAATAACTATAAGAGAAAAACACTTGATGGCCCTATGCAAATTTTCTTTCAAAACTTTGTGTGTAGTTGTTTATATATAACCATCAAAGCTTTATATTAAATAGAATGTCATATTTTTTTAAGGTTTCCCTTTATTAGATAGAAAAGAATGAAAATGATTTTGATTTTATTTTTTGATTTTATTTTTGTTTAACATTTTGAAAGTTTGGATAGCAAGAAAAGGAAAATCACTTTCCATAAAATTTTCTTCTAAAATACACAAGAAAATTTTGACTTCTTAAGAAAGTTTTATTAAGTTACAATATTAATTTTTGACTTCTTGAGAAAGTTTTATGAACTTACAATATTGCCCTTTTTCCAATAACCTTTGACCCACCAAAGAAGTTTTCCTAACAAGACTACTGGTACGGTTTAGCTCTCATTTACCTTTGAACAATCCCGAGAAGGGCTTTAATAATCAACCTGTAAGAGCCAACAAAAGCCCATTTTTTTTTTCTCCCTTCATGCACGTCTTAAAATTCATATATGGTTCAATGAATCTATCTTTCACCATGCACTAAATGGCTTTATAGGTGTTCACACCACCTTAATGAGAAAGCACACAATCAATAGAAGTGCACAATTCTTTTCCAACGCGAAACTACAGATTGCTGTAACGTCGGTACGTATAACAGAAAGATGCAAGTCTGTAGAGGAATCAAGGTCTCTCAATGTCATCAAAGTACGGGTGCTTCAGTGCATCGTAAGCTGTAATTCTTTCTTCTGGTTTGTAGCGAAGCATTTTCTGCGTATCAAAAGCCATGGTGTGAGTATTAAGAGTACAAATTTTATAGCTGAACTCGTAAAGCTGCTTCTTCGATTTTTTTAGACAGAAGATGCTTCAAAATCTATCTTCTGTATATTTAAGGAAGCTGGTATCCATCTTAAAAGAAAGAATGTTAAGCTTCCTCTGAGTTGCTATACTAATTAATAATTTGCAGCCAAGTGAATTCTTGGTTCCCAAGAACATAACCGAGGCTTTATAATTTCCACTTAAATATAACGAGGATGAACTTACAGAAAGAAGATCGACTCCAGCTGGTTCAAGATCGGGAACTACTTCTGCCAGATTCTGCATGCGGAAGAAAAAAGAAAAAAAGTAAATATATTTCTAAGATTCTAAAGCAGAAAAAATAAAACCACAATTCAACCAGAACCTGTACCTTAGGAGGATTATTCTCGGGGATACCGAAATATTGACAATATGCCCTCACCGTAGGCCAGGTTTCTTCATCTGGTATGCCCAATAAGCTTCATTAGAACCAAGATGTAGTTAGTATTGCACCATAGCAAGGCATTAAGATGCAAACAATCAGTGACTGCATGCGTGGGAGTGTCACTTTAATATACCACCTGAAAATTTTGCGTACAATATTCATATGATCTGAAGAATAAAAAAGAGGCTTCTGGTTACACATCTCAGCAAATATGCATCCCACAGACCACAAATCAGCTTCTGCGGAGGTTATGCCGCCATTCATGAGTTCAGGTGCCACGTACAATAGAGTTGCTACCTGAAAACAAACACCAACAATATGAGAATAAAGTTCCCGAATGTGATGTTAAAACTTGCTTAGACATAGTCCTTGCCATTACATCAGAACAGGGTATATTAAGAAATTGTGTGTTGAAATTTGGTAAGGTGTGGACCTCTTTCGATGCCCCTTCTTGAATTGAATGGCTCCATTCACATTTTATATAGTATTTTAGTTCAGAAGTTCATTGTCTTGAATGGATAAAATTGAGAAATAATGTATAAAATCATGAATTTTTCTGCTTCAAAGGAAACCTAGAAAAGGCTATGGAGATTAAGTATAGTTGCACTAAAAATAACACCCATCCTTTGGCTTAAGTGTAATCACCTCCTCTTCTCACAACAAAATGTTATATAAAATCTAATAGGTCTGATTAAAATTCAATAGACTTTCAGACAAGCCCTATTTCAAGTAACCCCACAATTTGTGAGAGAAAAAAAAAATGTAACCCACTAAAACCTATTCTTGTTTCCCCAATTCTAAAACCAGCAAGTAATATGCACACCAAGTGTCACTAAATTTCTTGTATTCAACAAAAAGAAAATAGAATTAATGCATTTTTTATTGAAATTTATCTGATGACAGCTTCTAATATAATATGTTATGCAAAAAAAATACTCAAACATCATCTGAGGTGCAACCTACAAATGATTAAGTTTCTATCCCACAAAGCTCATAGTGGTAAACTCAGACTAATAACTCAAAAAAATCCAAGAGAATGCCGAGGCAGTGAAAGGTGAATAATAGTACCTGTTCCCCTCTAGTATATGCTACTGCCCTGGCTGATCCAAAGTCTGCAAGCTTCAGGATTCTTTCAATGGAGTCTATCAGCAAATTCTGTGGTTTCAGATCTCGGTGGAGAATTTTGTGAGAATGACAATAGGCAAGACCACTGAGTATCTGATGCAGAAAACTCTGCAGGGAAAAAAGAACAAGAGAAAATTAATCACGAAATTAATTGTTGATGTCTATCATCATTATCACCGTCACAGGTAGGAAAACTTGGTAAATGTTGGTGTACTTAATAAGGCATCAAGATTCTACATGAAAATGAAATAATCTCATATGCTTTATATGGCATATGAAATATTCTTTTCCTTTTGTTACTGATTAACGAGTCTATCAGTACTTGTTCACATATTAGTCAGGTTAGAATTTCACCAACTGTTCTTGTTCCACATACATTGTAGTCATTTCCGTTTCCCATGACTAATATGTGTTAAAATGCTTTGGATATAAACGTCAACAGAGTACATCTAAACAACATAAAAAATAAAAAAAATAAAGAAGAAGAAGAAGGAAAAATGCTAGTAAGTTGCCTAGATTTCACCAACCAACAAAAACCAAAAACCAATAACTTAGATTTCAGAAATATGTCTAACTACTACATATGCATTCATAGTAAACAATAATTACAAATTATGAGGTCTGACTGGTCAGTATAAGTCAAGATTCAATCATCATTACACTTAACCCAGGAATCATTTGGTAAAATAATCCAGACAGTTGATAAATTTTATCTTTTTCTACAGAGTAAAAAAGTAATACTATCTTTGATAAATTTTATCTTTTTCTACAGAGCAAAAGCAAGTCTCACCCACTTTTATCACATGTGGATTCTTGGCAGTCTCTGAATGAGTTTTTATGAACTTCTTCAGATCAACATCCATATACTCAAGAACAAGATACACTTTATTCCTTCCATGCTCTACAGTGTCCACTACATCTAACAACCTGTTAGCCAGAAGTCCATCAATTGATTTGTTAGGCTAAACCAAGATGTACATAAATTTAACAGCACAACACAGGCAGTGACTCGTCAAGAGTCAACTTACACATCCGTAAAACCACTACCATAATCTGAGTTTTGTATCCCATATTCTGAGTCAAGAATTTCACTCTGAATATATATTACTTATTGTTTATAACTTAAAAGAGAATGGATTCCAAGCTCAATAGTTAGAATTGGCAGATATAAGGTGGAGATGACTGAACCTATTCTAACCAAACCTGAGATATAGGCAAGTAAATTTGTCACATACAAGATTAAAATTAACACATAGCATTGGAGCCTGCCAAGCATTCTGAGGACACTAGTCTCACCCAAATGATGGAGGCACCCCTCTAGTCACCAACAAAAAAAAATAAAAAAATAAAACACAATCAATGCCATGTCTCATCAATCATACCATTTGTTCCTCTGCTCCCTTCACTCTACACAATAATGACATCTGAGTATACTAACAAGGAAGAAACAATCTCAAAATGGTTTCAAAAAAAGATATTGTACATTCATCTCTGCATTCAGCAGAAATGAATGGAGGTAGGTGAACATTAAAAATGTTCTTTAAGCCGCAAAGTAGCAGACCATATTCATCATACCCGTTTGGTGTACATTATCCCATTTGTTCCTCTTCTCCCTTCACTTTACACAATAATAACTACTGAGTTTACTATTAACAAGGAAGAAACAATCTTAATTAAAATGGTTTCAAAAAAATATATTGTACATTCATCTCTGCATTCAGTAGAAATTAATGGAGGTCGGTGTTTTTCTTTCTTTTCTTTTCTGTTTGCATATAAGGGAGGCCAGCGTTACTTCATACACAATCTGAATGAGATTAAATTTAATTGTTTTTTCCTAGGTTAACTTTAATTTGGAAAATGTGAGGAGTGTTATGATTGGATACCTCTTGAGAGGTTTTATTATTTTCCCAAGTTTAATCTTCAGTTATTATATTTCATAATTTCATCTTATAATGTGTAATTTGTTGCTCTGAAAACCAACATAAATATTGGGGGAGTTAATACCTGACAATATTGCTATGCTCCATCTCTCTCAAAAAAGAGATTTCTCTGATTATTGAACTCGGGACACCTTCAGATTCGTCAGAAATATTAATCCATTTTAAAGCAACAGTTTCATTTGTCTCACTGTTGTAGCCCTTGTAAACCGATGCAAAGTTTCCAACTCCAATTTCCTCAAGTTTCTCATACTGTCAATTCATCATCATTTTGAGATTTTAGAAGCAAAAACTAATAGAACAATTTCCTATAATACAAACCAAATCATACTATCTTTTACCTTCTCCATACTTATCAGGTCTCACTGCCCTGTCATAGAAATAAAATACAAAGACAATAATTTAGATAAAACACATTTAAAAAATAAGTAAAAATCATAATCTGTAAAAATGTCTTATAACCATATTTGAATTGTTTATGGAGGTCAGTTTCTTGGCAACCGTAACCAAAGCAAGAACATACATATATCACAAGCAATGCTTTGTTCAATTGCATTAATTAGAGGGAGATTTTTGCTATCTATAAGAAACCCAGAATTAAGGCTGTAAATATTGCAACACAAAGAAACAAGTTGATGCATTCTATGTAAATATAGCAACACACACAGATATGGTCAATGGCACAAAATAAATGAAATTTAAAGAGCTTAAGTATGAGAAACTATTAGAGGACAAATGACTTCACGATCTTTTAGTCAACTAGTGAGAACATATAACAGTTTTCCTGCTCAATGAGCTGAACTTTGAACGCTCAAGTTACACTGTATAAAGTACAATCTGGACTCTGTATGGTAAAAATCATTTCAGTAGCACCACAAAAAGATGGACATTTATGGGTAAAAGTTTGCTATCTATTCGACAATCTGTAGATCAACAATGCTGCAGGGGATCAGGGGTATTGACATAAATATCATGGCCCTACTCCATGACTTCTACAGGACACAATTCGACAGATCCTTATGACTCTTAGCTTGTTTTCAGCCTACATGGATCATGTTTCTGTTCCATCAAGGACCCGCAATAGAGACCATCTAGTCCTCCATATTTTAATTATAAAGATGAAACTAATAAAAGATCGTAATGTGGTTTAAGTTAAATTCTTAATTAAAGTATACCATGTATTGTAAGAGAAATTTTTACTGAATACTGGAACTAAGAATCAAAGTAACCTTGTGAATTAAAACTACTTTAAAGATTATTTTGCCCCTTCATTGTAAATTGTGAAAAAAGGTCTAGATATAAACACAGGTTAAGAACCATGTTGCTCTAATGTGAAATACAGTTTTCTATACTATATCCTATATTGCATGGTTAGCATGAACAGAAGGCTATGTTTGGGAGCACCGACAAGGCGCCGATTCGTGCTCCCAAATGCAACACAAGGCACATTTGGGGCTTTAAGATGCATATCAAAGAGATATCAAGAAACTTCAAAGAAATCAAACATGTCACAGTCAGACATAAATTGAAAGTTAGATCCTTCAATTAACTCCCTCACACACACACACACACACACACTGTGAAATGACATCTTAAAACACGAAGAGAATTACTAATTTTGACAATATTGAATATCGAATCTAACACTAAAAACTGAAATCAGATCAGTGAACAACAACTGAAATTTTAAGAGCAAGAAATCATCGCGATATGGTCAGTGAAATCATCCGATTTTTAAACCCTAAAAAACTTGAATTACAAATTAACTCTTAAAAGTGATGATATCTTACAGAAAGAGAAGTCTCTGATTCGCAGATGGTATGTTGGCAATTCTCTTGAAGATCAATTTCTAATATCACAGAGAGAGAGTAAGAGAGAGAGAGAGAGTTGTAGAGAGAGAAAGAGTGAGATAATACGGTCGTATATGTGTACAACAGTACATGAAGATAGATATAAGAGAATTGGCGGCAAACGGACTGAAACGGCCTCGCGCGCCGGAACCTCTTCTCCAGCTGTCTTAGTGAAAGGTTACAATAATGGAAAATGTTTATTTTTTGTTTTTTGTTTTTTCTAATTCTAATAAACGCCTTGGGATTTCTATTCGGTTCAGTTTTTTTTTTTTTTTTTTTTAAAAAAGAAAATTATAAAATTAAATAAAATCGATTTGATTGTCTTTTTTTCCTTCTAAAATGGGTTTAGTTGATGGTTTCTAAAAATTATTATATTCTAAAAACTTAGTTAAATTTTTTGTAATTTTGTAAAAATAATATTCTATTTTCTTAAGAATAGTTTTTAAAAATTGAATCAAACAAATTCTTTTCAATAATTTGTGCTTTTTATTTCTTCACTATTTTTACATTTCATGTATTCATTAAGTCAATTACATGACTCAACCACAAAAATTCCAAATGGCTCTACGAAAATCTCAATGGAGTGGTTTCATGAATCTTCAAACCTAGACAATAATTCAACATTAAAATATATCAAGAATTTATTTTTGTAAGTGAAGTTGAAAATAGACGGTATGTTTTTAAGTTTTTAATATTTATAAATCTTTTTTAAATTAGATTTAATCAATGGTATTCATCATTTTTAAATGAAAATGAGTCATTTTTCCTTTTATTTTGAAGAATAAAAAATAGTTTTCGGAAATAAAACCAAGTAGACAAACAAGACCTTTGATCTAGTACCGATCATTTCATTTATCCTTTTATTTTGAATAAATTAAAAATAGTTCTCGAAAATAAAACTAAATAGAAACACAACCTTTGACCCACGGAAAGAAGTATTCCTAGCAGCACCACTTGATTCAATCTTTCACCCAGCCAGTCAGAGGCGGCCTGAGATTGACAAAATCTTGAGAGGACCTAAGCGAAATTAAATGTGAGATCATTTAATTACTGAAATACGCACTTACACATAAAGTAGTGAAGGGTCATATTTAACTTCTAATTTAATCACCAAGTTTTTAAACACTCTAATTTTGAATGGATGTGAATTCGTTTAATGGAAGGGCTCTAAGTTTTATTTTTTATTTTTTTTATTTGAGCCTATCACTCATGGAAAGGGGCCTAAGTTTTTTTTCTTTTTATTTGGGCATATCACTCATGGTAAGGAGCTTAAGTTTAAGTTTGTTTTTGTTATTTATTTTTATTTTTAACCTATCACTAATGGGATTAGAAATTTTGAGGCCCTAGGCGACCGCCTTGGGCCAGAGTCGGCCCTGGACCCAGCCATGATGAAGTTGTATTATTATTATTTCAAGTATATATATTCTGGCTCGAACTCTTCCCCTCTTTAATTGCGAAAAAAATTAGATTTACTATCGTAGAGAAATATATATATTTACAACTCTATTAACTGTATTTATTTTCTTCTTTCATGTGAATCTGACAACTAATTGCATTCCTAATTTAGAATTTTTTTTTTTTTGGGTGTAGCATAGTTTGTCGTTTCATTTTATATAAAGTTGTGTTCTGTAGTTTTATTCTATATAAAGCATTTTTTTTTTAAGTCCAAACAAACTAAACTTGTAAGAAAATATATCTAAAAACTTACGGTATCATAAAAAATCATCCGAAAATTTTTGTACAAATTTTATATTTATGTTCGAATTTTTGGAATTGTTGTTAGAATGATGAAAGCTCAAAGATATTTGATGTTGGTAAAAAAAAAGTTACGTATTTGGTAATGCAGCAATACATAATTTAAATACACCATTACAATTGAAAATTTGTGTATACGATGAAAATAGTGGCAGTAATGCACATCAGGGAAAAAAAATTGTATTTCTAAAAAATAAAAAAAGATTAAATTGTAAAAAAAATTAAAGTTAACTACGCAGACTTTTTATAGTAACCAAAAACATATAACCCTAACGCAAATTTTTCACTTCAGCCAAGCATTATCATCACATCACCGCTGAAACATATATATCCCAAACGGGCACTTCATCACACACCGCTGAAACATATATATACCAAACGGGCACTTAATCACACACCGCTGAAGCATCATCATCACCATCAATTTTTTCACTTCATCAAACACAGCCAAGCATTATCATCGTATCAACACACAAGCATATATATCCCAAACAGACACTTCATCACACAGCGTTTAAGCATCATCATCACATCAACATACAAGCATATATGGGGATAACAATTATACACGTCAATACACAAGATAGTACTTCACATTATTCACCCAATGGAGAGATTAAGAGAATATATACATCAAAATCCGGACTCACTGAGTCATCATAAATAACTTCCACACGCTCATCATAGATAACTTCCTCAAAATTTGCTCATAAATTTGAATAGAAAACAAACAAAAGATGCACTGAAGATGAATAGAAAACAAACCAAAGTAATCATCCATTTACAAGTAGTGATCAAGTTAGAAGATTCTGTAGCTGATGAAGAACTACTTCAGAGAGAAAGACAGACAGAAAGTTGTAGCCTATAGGTGATGAGACCACCTTCAAACAGAAAAATACAATATCAAATTATCAATTAAAATACGCATTTCTTCGCAACATTGGCCTCATCTAGACAGTATTAAGCACAAAAAATACAGAGAAATCGAAGTCAGTCTACATCATCGAAGTACGGGTGCTTCAGTGCATCGCATGCTGTAATTCTTTGTTCTGGAACCGTGCAGAGCATTTTCTGTATATAATAAGCAAGGTTAAGGGTGTTAAACACCAAAAATCAGTAGTTGAACTCAGTAAAACTGCTTTTTCGATTTTCTTAAATAAAATAAGTTTTAAGATCACAATTTTGTATTCCTAAATAATCTGAATGATGAAGAGATCAAAAAATCCATTTATTTCTATTTTGAAATGTTCATGTAGCTTGTAGTAAGGGTTAAATCAACTGAGTGTTCAATTTATTGTCTACTGAGGTTTAGATGTATACATAGGGAAAGCCGTGTGCAATGCAAAATGCAAGCTTTAAGGAATCCCGTGTGGTTTTGGGACATTGGCCTTTGCTATAGTGAATTCCTGGTTCCTTAAGACCAAGCCGAGGCCTTATAATATCCACTTGTATAATGAAGAGGAACTTACAGAAAGAAGATCGAGTCCAGCTGATTCAAGATTGGGGACTGCGTCTGTCAGATTCTGCATGGCAAGATAAGAAGAAACATCATAAATACTTTTCTAAGGCTCTAAAGCGGGAAACAATTAACCACACCCAAATTATGTACTACCTTAGGATTGTTCTCGTCATGAAAAATTCCACTTAATAAAATAATAGCAAGAGAGATGTCATTTGGCTCGTCCAGCGTTCTTCATTGGAAACAATTCAGATAGATGTAGTTAGTAAGTATTGCGCTGCCATCACAGGACATTAAGATGTGAACAATCACTGGCTGTGTGAGTGTGTCCGAATTAGATATTACCCAACGTCTTCTGGAAGCAAGGTGTAATTATTATTGATTTCTGCTAGTTCGATTTCGTGTGAATCATCAAGTAGAGGGTGCAACATCTCAGCAAATATGCAACCAGCAGACCATACATCAGCAGCTGGATTGGAGTTTTTTTCGGAGTTACCAAGTAAGACTTCAAGTGGATGGTACCATAATACACCTGGTCCTACCTGAAGTAAACTACCAACCATATGAGAACATAGACAGCAACTACAAGTGCAAAAACCAGTATGTTAGGAAAAATTATGTCAGTCAAAATTTCGTTAGTGGATTCCCCTTCTTTCAGAAACTTATCATCATCTTGAACGGATAATATTGACAAACAGTGTAATCCATTATCGCAAATGGTTACATAAAGAAATTACACCGAACCTTTAGCTAAAGCATTATCACCTCCTCTTCCTGCATGGGAGGGTGAGGGTTCAATTTCCTATATGGGAATAGTGTGTGCGCGCCAAAGACAAAAGGAAAACAAATTCAAATTATGAAATGTTAGGTAAAATGTAATATGTCATATTAAAATTCAAGAGACAACCAAACTAGCCCTATTCCAAGAAGTAAACCTGTTCCTGTTTCCCCATTTCTAAAAGCAGCAAGTGGCATGAGTTCGTTTGCAAGTACAGAGTTAAAAGACAGCATTCACACCATGTTTCACCAATTTGTCTTGTCAACAAAACAAAATAGGATTAATGCAACTTTTATCAAAAATATATATATATATATATCAGATGATAATTTCTAATAAAACAAGTTATACAAGAAAATAAGAATGAATCCAAGACAGTGCAATCTACAAAGGACTTCTAGTTTCTAACCCATAAAGCTCATAGTGGCGAGCTCAGACTTATAGATCAAATTATCAACTCTGAAGGAAAAAGGTTAAAGCCAAGAGAAGGTTGAGATGTAAAAGGTGAACATTAGTACCTCAAACCCTTGAGGATTAGAAGGAACAGCAACTACTCCGGCTGATTGAAACTCTGTGGGAAAAAGGCGAAATGCAAGCTTCAGGATGCGTTTACTGCTATCTATGAACAAATACTGTGGCTTCAGATTTTGGTGTAGAATATTGTGAGAATGACAGTAAGCGAGAGCGCTTAGTATCTGATGCAGAAACCTCTGCCAGGAAAGAAGAACGTCAGAAAATTAATCATCAAATTATTAACTGTAGAAGTCCTTTAGCATCACCGTTATCACCTACAAATGAAAAACTAGATAATTGTTGACAGGCCATTAGGATGTTATATGAAAATTAAATCATATCATATGTCGTATATGTGGCATCTGAGATTTTCGTTTGCTTTTTGTACTTTTGAACACATCTATCAGTTACATTTTAGTTATGTTAGAATTTCAGTAACAGTTCTTATTCCACATGCGTTGTAGTCGACTCCTTGATTGAGTACATCCAAGTAAACAACCTAAAAAAAATTGCTAGTATATAAATTACTCAGATTTTACCTACCCTAAAATTAAATTGAAAGAATAAAATAAGGAAAAGTTACCTACATTTCATAAATATGTCTAATTACATGAGCTTACATACAATTGACATAATAATTAAGTTAATATGAGTCAACATGCAAAAAGCTACAGAGTTTAAAAGTAATATGTGACGGCCCAAGTTTTTCAACCCGGTGCGTCAGTGATGAACCGAAAGATGACCCGATAACGAATCCGAAATGCGGAAGCAAAAGACAAACAATGGTCTCTAGAGATACAACATGACTCTAAGACACCATTGTGACCCTCAACGAGGTCACGGGACACAAAGGAATCAAATGCGGAAACAACATTTCAAAAACGGACAAGAATGCACCTGGGGGCAAAATCGTCATTTCTAGCCTAAAAGTGGGTGCCACCAAGCACACCATTGGAAAGACAACGAAAAATCAATGAACTTAGCCTCAAAAATCGCTTGATTTGGAGTCCGGATGAAGAAGATATGGCTTACGGAAGAAAAAGGGGCAAAACGGTCCAAAATAGGCAACCCATGAACATCTAACCGGTTAGGAGACCTTCCTAACCAGTTAGGAGGCAAAAAAAATTTGACCAAAACACTGCCCATGCACAATCAAAAAATACGCAATGTGAAATGCCCAAAATGCCCTTCCAAGAAAACTGGTCCAGAGGGTCCAAAAAGCTGCTAAATTTAAAAACTGAGAGCTGAACTTCGGATGCGATTTCCGATGCCAAGATGGCATTTTCTGAAAAAACACGAAAAAGAAACCCCCCCTAAAATCATATTTTCTATTCAACCATGTGAAGAACAGAATTTATTTCCCAAAGAAAATTCTCAAAATACCCTTAGGTCAGAAAATGCAACAAAAGTGTAAAATGAGTCCGTAGGAGGCTCATTTCACCAAAGAAGAAGCTTTGCCCGGAAACGACCATGCACGCAAACATAACTTACCTAATAAGATGTGCTACAATGGTCCATGGCCCAAAAATATGGCCGATGCAAAATATGACCCCTCAACGGTCAAAATGCCAAAAATGAAGTTTGAAACGAAAACTTGGAATTTAAAATCATGAGATGGTTTCAAAATACCATTTGGCCCTTGGCCACACTTCATACATGATTAATGAATACTAATGGAAGAATCAAAATGGAATTCCCACACCTAATGCAAACATGGTGAAGAAAAACTCAATATTTTTCAATACTTTCATAATACTCCATGAAGTCAAAAATTACATAGGATACAAATTACATGGCATTGGCCTCCGGCCTCATCTCATACATGTCAAATACATTGTAAAGAGTGTACTCATATACACATTACATATATGGAATCAAATGTACACATGTTGATATATAAGACTACAATTGGCATTCCAAGCCAACCTTCACCAAAAATGGAAGTCTCCAAGTCCACAAACCATCCAAGCATAATGAAGACCTCAATTTTGATTTTTGTACCTGAAATATGCCCCAGTATCGTAGGGGTGAGTAACATAAAGCTACTCGTAGAAAATGAGCATGCATCGACCTACGTTTTACAAGTTGCATGATTTAATCATTGTGGCTCATTCCACCTAACGTCTATGTCAAATGTGAGACTCAAGGAGCATCCTAGCTACCTAAGATCATTTCTAGCATCAATCACCTCATTCATGCAATTTTAGCAACATAGGTTCATGATTACACAAAGCAACAACATAGGAGCATGCTTACACAAAGCAACAACATAGGAGCATACTTACACAAAGCAACAACATATAGATTCTCAAGGTTATCAACTTGAAGTCTAAAATGCAACATCAACTAAATATAACAATTTAGCATAATTAGAATATATAATATCACACATCAAGACATAAATTCTCTAGGTTATCAACTAGAAATCTAAAAGTGTGAAATCAACTAAAAGTATGGATGTACTTAACAATATCAAAATCGCCAATAGCCAAAACCACAAGTTAACAAGGTAAACATGATTGTCAACTTGGAATTGAATGCGAAAACAAACAGTGGAATACTTGGACATCACGCTCGGAATTCTGCCGAGACCTCAATGGTTATTCCGGGCACTAACCCGCAGGGAAGACCACCCTAAGTGCTCACTATCTCAATGACTTAGAGGACTCACGTCCCCGTACTAGAGCCAAACCCTAGCCATCTCAACTGAACGATGTTCCAAGATTCCAAAATAAGCCAAATAAGTTCATAACTTATATATATTACTACTACATAGTAACAAGTTAGCAATATAACTCTCAATTGTGCATAATAAGCATTTCATATCCATAATGCTACGAAATCACAAGCCAATAATATATTTATATTAGAAATATACTCTCATGAACATAAACTTAACAACAATGCTCTTCAATGCATATAACACAATCTAGTGAATACATCACAAGTCTAAATCCATGCTCTTAAAATAAAAACAACTTCTAAAACATGATTAGATCCATGGATAAACAAGATAGAATTTAATTACATCAAAATAATTAAACTCTCTAGATTTCAAATCATTTCCAATTGGCTCTAATTTAATATATGTTAATAGACATATCATGGTCATTACATATATTCACACACAAGCTTAATTAGGCCCATAAAACCTCAAAAAAATAAATTTTAATTAATACCCTTAATTAAAGTCTTTAGATTTCCAAACTCAACCAAATGCTCTCAAATTAAAGTATGTTAACAAACATGCCAAAACTTAATTTAGAAGCATAACACAACTCAATTCCATGCAAGGTATGGCCATGAACTTAAACCTTTCACAAAAGATAAATATTAATTAAAAAGAGCAATTTTTATTTAATTAATCCCAAATTAATATATATTAACCAATATATTAAAACAAGAGTTTCTACCATACTACAATTCAAATCAAAGTAATATATCATCATGAATTTTAAATCTTATATAAAGAAATAAAAATTACTAACTTTCTAGATTTGATACAAGGCACATATATAAATTATATAATCATATTAAACACTCAATACAACACACACAAAAGCTTAAAACATTCCCTACCTCCATTTGAGATGAAATCTCAAATCCCCACCAAAATAAATCGGCTCCGAATCCGACGAAACTCCTAGGTTTTGTCGGGGACAACACCACGAACATGAATCCCAAGGAAGCCCCATCAAAAACACAACTTGACTTTAAACTCGAACTCAAGAAATGGCCAAAACGAGATTCCAATCGGTTGGAATCGAAGGCCTTGCCGAAGGGAACAATAAACACAAAGGCATCACCACTTTTTAATAAAGGGAAGAAATCCAAAAGAGGATAGAGAAGATGGCAGCCATGGATGGAGCTTGGACCGGCCATGAGAGAGGAGAGAGAGAGAAAAATCTGATTTTTCTTTCTAAGACCTCCTATTTATAGAAAAACTCAAAAAGTGCTCCGAACGGGCCCCGCCGGGTCCGGAAAAGTGGAATTCACGCAGACGCGCTCAAATGGCAAAACTCCATGAACGAAAAATATTCCAAATGAAAAAATATGAATAACGGAAGAAACGGCATTGAAAAACGAGTCCCGAGCAGAGAGTTATGCCCAAAACAAGTTTGGCGCAAACCGGGGCCAGAAATCCTGAAACTAGAAAATATCGTCTAAGAGGAAATTCTAAGAGTCCACGACTCGACGAAATGTGAAAATGAATCCCGTACGAGGATCCAGGCTCAAAACAAGGCATTGAGCAATAACTTTCATTAATTGCACAATGACCCTTCCAAAAAGTGAAAACTGCGAAACTGCCCCAGAATGAAAATATCTTCCAAAAGATATTTTCTTAGATACTCCTAAAATAAAATATCTTCAAAAGATATTTATGAAAAACACCCCAAGAAAAGAAAAAGTTTCCAAAGAACTTTGCATTTATGCCCTTATGGACACCGGGAGCAACCAGAATACTTTCTCAAAAGTAAAGATACGTATCTCATAGAAATCATTGAGAATGAAGATACGCGAAGTCAGAAACCAACTCCGAATACAAGAAGTGTGAACAGAGTGACAAACAAGGAAAAGACGAAATAGGGAAAAAGACAAAATAGGGAAAAGACAAAAAGTGAATAGTGTCGAAAAACGAAAAGTGCGGAACTGACTCGGTCCTCAAAGGAAGTTGTCAATTCACCAGAAAAAGTCTCAGAAATCACTCCAGAGCACTCGAGACAACACTAATCGATAAGAAACCAAACTCAGAAGGGAAAAGACAACGGAAAAAATTTATCCGAAAAATCCAGGTCATTACATAATAAACCTTTTTAAATCATTTATATAATATTAATAAGGAAAATTTCACCCACTTTTATCACGTGTGGATTCTTGGCAGTCTCTGAATGAGTATCCATGAACTTCTTCAGATTTATATCCAAATAGTCAAAAACAAGACGCACTCTAATCGTTCCGTGCTGTACAACGTTCAATATATCTAATAACCTGTTAGCCAGAAATCAATTTATTTGTAAGGCTGAATTCAAGAAGTACGTAGTATTAACAGCTAAACACAGAAGATGGCTCAAATTCAAGAGCCAATGTACAAATCCACAAAACTAGTATACTCAAACGAAGGTTTGTAATAAACAAGAACCTCGGTCTCATATGAAAAATGAACCCTATCCATTCAGCCATGAAGTTGCTTAGCCATCCATTTGTCAAATGAACTGGAATGGAATTCTTAATGGATGTGTCCATTTTAGTACCAGTCTTAGTGCAAGCATTAGAAGTCTTGAATAGAAAAGTAATAAGGAGTGCAAAATGTTAAAGAGATGATTTTTTTCCCCTGAGGGATCATCATGAGCATATATATCTCAATTGTTGTTTCATGGACATTATTTTTTACATTGTGAGATCATTCTATAGTTTTATCTAGCTTTTGCTCATTGACGAAATTTTAACATCTGATATTATTTTGGCGCGCGCACATGCAGATGCAGGTTATAATTTTGGGATGAAATTTTGTTTATTTTTAAATATCATCATAAGAACCAGAAATAACCACCAAAATCAAAACTCAAAACCTTGTTGATGACATCATTATGGTTATAAGAAAACCTACTTTTCAAATAAAAATTTTACATCACAGAAACATGACGCAACAGACATATTCATCATATCCATTAGGTGTACATTATGCCAATTGTTTCACTTTTCCCTTCACTGTATACAATAATGACTACTAGATTTACTATGAACAAGTAAGAAATAATCTTTAAATGGTTTCAGAAAATATTGTAGATTCATCACATTCAGTAGAAATATGGACGGAAGCAAGTGTTATACCTCACACAAAATCTAAAGGAGGTTAAACTGAGGTTTTATTATTTCCTCAAGTTTGGTATCCAGTTTCTTTTGTTACTCTGTAAAGCAACAGAAATATTACGAAAGAAACTACCTGATAATATTGCTATGCTCCATCTCTCTCCACAAAGAAAGATGTCTGATTACTGAACTCGGGACACTTTCTACGTGATCAAAAAAACGAATATCTTTGAAAGCAACGGGTTCATTGGTCTCACGGTTGTAGCCTGTATAAACCCGCCCAAAGCTTCCATGTACAACACTATTATTCGATATCACATACTGTCAATTCATCATAACGACAAGACTTTAGAGGAAAAAAAGTAACAGAACAATTTTAAATTTAACACAAACCATATCATATCTTTACCTTCTCCATATCATCAGGTCTCACTTCCCTGGCATAAAAAGAAAATACACAGACAAAGATTTAGATTTAGCAAGATCTGTAGAATAATAATATTCTTATAAACCCATGGTTTAAATTGTATATGGAAGTCAGCTTCCTGTCAGTGGTAACCATAGCAAGAACACACACACATAAACACCCACACACACACATTATCTCAAGCCATGGGAGAAAGACACCATCCCGGTCCAAAATGTCATAGATTTATTCAACTGCATTCAATTGCAGCATACTCCATGCCTTCTACCCTACTCAATTCAACAGATCCTTATTTCTGTGGAACATAGGCCATATTGATGACAGAACACATATTTGTTTAATGAACTTCGAATTAAATTCACAATTAAAGTAGACCCCCGTATTTTAAGAGCCATTCGTAATGAAACTAAGAGTCAAAGGTAACCTCTATTCAAGTTTATGGGCAACATATTGCCTCTTCAGACCTGAAATTTTGCCCTTATCTGTAAACAAAGGTGTAGTGAAATGCAGATGATACGCTCGTTAGCATGAACATAAGCCATTTTTGAATGTTTCATTTCGGGGATTGAAGATTAAATTGATCTCTCTATAATTTTAAGAAAATTTATGTCTTTCCATAAACATCTTAGCAAAACTGTTTCAACTTGCAGATTGGTTTTACACTCAAATTGAACTTTAAACCTGCATACTACAAGATAAAATTTGCCAATTATCCCATTAACGGCTTGTTTTGGAGCTTCAATTCATGAGTAACTATCCAGAAATGAATATTTAGCAAAGAAAATCTCTCATTTATCCGATCATTACCAAGTGGAAGACTGACACCAAAAAATTGACTCATGAGAATGTATAACTTTAAAGACAACAAACAGAGTTTATAAAATGCAAACAACAACAAATAAACAAGAATGCAAAAAGTAAAAATAAAATTAGAACAAGAATTCAGTTTTATATTTGGACATATCAAGCTTCATTGCCTTCAAAAATAAAAATTAAAAATTAAAAATAAAAAAATCTAGGGCTTGCTTGGTTCAGTTTTCTGATAACAGTTTCGTTTTATGAGAAAATTGTGCAAAAATGAATCTGTATGGTCGAAAGTTTGGACCGTTTTCTGAAAACTCATTTAAAAAAAGGTCATTCAGAATTTTAAACCCTCAAAATCTTGAATACAAATTAAAATAACGAAGAAAAGAAAACAGGTGATTGATGACTTACAGAAAGAAGTCTCTGATTCGCTGAAAATTCTCTAATAGCCAAACTCTTGAAGATCAGGTTCAAATTTCAGTACAGAGAGAAAGAGTTGTAGAGAGACAAAAGGGTTAGAATATATATATATATATAGTACATGCAGTGTTTCAAATACTCTTATATCAATTACTAATGGTTGTATTGAAGTTCATGTACCAATAGACTCCTAAATTAAATGAACTAATACTAGATTCCTATGATTTCTAAGCAAACTATCGCATAGCGTCGTTTGGTTATATCGATAAAGCAAGAAAGAATGGAAATAGAATTTTTGTTTAACATTTTAGGGGTTTGGTCCGCGAAAAAAAAAAAACAAAAAGGAAATTGTGAACTTACAATATTGCCCTTTCTTTTTTAATGGTAAGTTTCAATCCAGTCCAACTATAAAACGTAGACCCCCAGGTCGTTTACACTACATAGATTTAGGTAGTGTTTGGGTGAGCTTCTTTCCCCCAGAAGGCCACTTGAGAAGAACTTTTGTATGAAAGGAATTTAAATAAAAATAAAAAAGATGTTTGGTAAATTTATTTTTTTAAATCCTTTACAAATAAAAATTAATTTACTTACGTAATTCAACATTTTTAATGTGACAATGTTACCCCACATCCATTGAAGTTTGAACAGCACCACCTTCCATTAAAGAACCAGTGCCATAGTTCACAAGACAATTATTTATGTAGTGTGTGTGTATATATATACACCAGGAAAAAGTACTTGCCATGTACGTGTTGAATGTTTTATAGATAATGTGATAGAGTTTTATAGAAAATAAAACAACCAATTTGTGGTAGATTTTATAAAAATTATTTTATTTTCTTTAAATATATTATTGTTTAATTATATATTTTTTTATTAAAAAAACTCATAACAAATAAATAAATAAGTAATATGTGTTAGAATTTTATAGAAACTCTTTTTATATCAATTAATAAATATTTTTTATATTAATAATTCTTGTCTAATTAGATTTCAATAAATAAATAAATGGGTAATTTGTGTTAAAATTTTATAGAAACTCTTTTAAAACCTCTTTTTATATCGATTAATAAATAATTTTTTATATTAACAATAGTTGTCTAATTAGATTTTCTTTTATTAAAAAAACCCAAAATAAATAGATAAATAGATAATTGTATTAGAGTTTTTATAAAAAAATCTTAAAATATATCATTGTCTAATGTATTATAATTTTATTGAAAATAAAATAGGTAATTTATGGTAGAATTTTTATAGTCTAATTAGATTTTCTTTTATTAAAAAACTTATAATAAATAAATAAATAGGTAATTTGTGTTAGAGTTTAATAGAAACTCTTTTAAAAACTCTTTTTATATCTATTTTTAAATTTTAATAATTCTTGTCAAATGCATTCGTAATGGCATGAGAAGCCTTCTTCTTAGAATTGCTGAGATCCTTCTCCAGCTTCTGAAGGGAGAGAGACTGAGCCTCAACAGTGGCACAAAGGGCCATGGTGTGATACAGGCCCTGCATCATCAGATAGTAACAATAACGATATAAGTAAAATGGCAAGATGATTACGAAAATAGAAGAAAAGGGAGGAGTAAACCTCTATAACTCGAACAAAGGCAGATGGGAGTAGCTGTTCCAACCCCATTCTACCAATAATCTCTTCGTCTTTGGGGAGCCACATTCCTCGAGCAACTGCCAGCGCCGCAGATGGGTCGGTAATCATAGAATCACCGGTATGGAGGACTGATTTGTCAGCCCTCGAGAAAGAAGGAGTCCAAGGTGCCCCAGCCTCAGCCAGGACGTAAGCTCTGACCTCCTCTTCAGGATCAGTCTCTTCAGCCTTCTTTCCTTTACTTTTTGGATTGGAAGCACTCTTGGATTTTGTGGTTGAAGAAGAAGTCAACCTCACTTTCTTTTGCAGAGGAATTTCATCAATCTCCTTCTCTTTTATTTAAAAAAAAAAAAAAAAAAAAAAACTCATAATAGAAGATAGTTTGTGATAGAGTTTTAGAAAAATTATTTTATTTTTTATATCAATTAAAAAATACTTTTTATATTAATAATTCTTGTCTAATTAGAATTTCTTTTATTAAAAAACTTATAATAAACAAATAAATAGGTAATTTGTGTTAGAGTTTAATATCAACTCTTTTAAAAATTCTTTTTATATCAATTAATAAATATTTTTATTTTAATAATTCTTGTCTAGTTAGATTTACTTTTATTAAAAAATTCATAATAAATAGATAAATTGGTAATTTGTATTAGAGTTTTTCATATAAACTTTTTTGAACCTCTTTTTATATCAATTAATAAATAATTTTTATATTAGTAATACTTGTCTATAATTAGATTTCCTTTTATTAAAAAACTTACAATAAATAGATAATTTGTGTTAGAATTTTATAGAAACTCTTTATTATGTAGATTTTAGTGTCTATATTTTTTTTTATATAAATAAATAAATACTGAAACTTTTTACACATCTAATAATACTATAGATAAAAACTCTTTTTTAAAATACTGAAACTCTTTAGTAGAGCTTCTGTATTTTACTCTGTAACTCTAGATTTTTAGATTTCTCAATTTATGTACCCATTCCTCCATGCCTCTATTTATAGGCTTTCTGGATTAATATGATTATGACATATGTCATTTTCTGATAATGACATAATCATAACTGGGCAGGCTGGTTGTATTGTAATAATTATCCATAAAAAATAACTATTCTTTTTATATTGAACTAAAAATAAGAGTTTTATATAAAATATGATTGATATTATTAGGTAATTTTGTAATTAATAAATATTTTTTATTTTAATAATTCTTGTCTAATTAGATTTACTTTTACTAAAAAAACTCATAATAAATAGATAAATAGATAATTTGTGTTAGAGTTTTATAGAAACTCTTTTAAAACTTCTTTTTATATCAATTAATAAATAATTTTTAATATTAATAATACTTGTCTAATTAGATTTCCTTTTATTAAAAAACTCATAATAAATAAATAAATATGTAATTTGTGTTAGAGTTTTATAGAAACTCCTTAAATATATCTTTGTCTAGTGTGATAGAGTTTTATTGAAAATAAAATTTGAAAATACAATAGGTAATTTGTGATAGAGTTTTATAGAAATTATTTTATTTTCTTTAAATATATCTTTGTCTAATTAGATTTAATTTTATTAAGAAACTCATAATAAAAGCTAATTTGTGGTAGAGTTTTAGAAAAATTATTATTTTTTATATATCAATTAATAAATATTTTTTATATTAATAATTATTGTCTAATTAGATTTTATTTTATTAAAAAATTCATAATAATAAATAGATAAATAGGTTAATTTAAATTTTAGTTTTTTAAATATTTTTTTTGTATAAATAAATAAATATTTAAATACTAAAACTCTTTGTACATCTAATAATAGTATAGAGTTCTTTGACAGAGTTTCTGTATTTTACTTTAGAATTATGAATTTCTAGAATTTTCAATTTCTATACCCCTTCCTCCTTCCTCCATGCCTTTATTTATAGGCTTCTTGGATTGGTAGGATGATGATATGTGTCCTTTTCTGATAATTACATAATCATAATTGGCCGGGCCAGTTATATTGTGATAATTATCCATAAAAAATTACTATTCTTTTTACATTGAACTAAAAATAAGAGTTTTATATAAAATGTAATTGATTTTATTAGGTAATTTTTAGAGTTTATAGAAACTATTTTTACAAAAACTATTTTTATATCAATTAATAAATATTTTTTTTATATAAATAAATAAATACTGAAATACGAAACACGTTGCATTATTTTATTATGTAATTTTTAATTAATAAATATTTTTTATTTTAATAATTCTTGTCTAATTAGATTTACTTTTATTAAAAAAACTCATAATAAATAGATAAATAAGTAATTTGTGTTAGAGTTTTATAGAAACTCTTTTAAAACCTCTTTTTATATCAATTAATAAATAATTTTTTATATTAATAATACTTGTCTAATTAGATTTCCTTTTATTAAAAAATTCATAATAATAAATAGATAAATAGGTTAATTTAAATTTTATTATGTAGATTTTAGTGTTTTAAATATTTTTTTTGTAAATAAATAAATACTTAAATACTGAAACTCTTTGCACATCTAATAATAGTATAGATAAAAACTCTTTTTATATCAATTAATAAATATTTTTTATTTAAATAAATAAATAAATACTGAAACTCTTTGGCAGAGTTTCTATATTTTACTTTGAAATTTTGGATTTGTAGAATTCTCAATTTCTGTACCTCTTCCTCCTTCCTCCATACCTCTATTTATAGGCTTCTTGGATTAATAGGATGATGACATGTATCCTTTTTTGATAATTACATAATCATAACTAGGTCGGATCTGTTATATTGTGATAATTATCCATAAAAAATAACTATTCTTTTTATATTGAACTAAAAATTATAGTTTTCTATATAATGTGATTGATTTTATCAGGTAATTTTTAGAGTTTTATAGAATCTATTTTTACAAAAACTATTTTTATGTCAATTAATAAATTTTTTTTTATATAAATAAATAAATACTGAAACACTTTACATGATTTTATTAGGTAATTTTCAATTAATAAATATTTTTGATTTTAATAATTCTTGTCTAATTAGATTTACTTTTATTAAGAAACTCATAATAAATAGATAAATAGGTAATTTGTGTTATAGTTTTATAGAAACTCTTTTAAAACCTCTTTTTATATCAATTAATAAATAATTTTTTATATTAACAATACTTGTCTAATTAGATTTTCTTTTATTAAAAAACTCATAATAAATATATAAATAGGTAATTTGTGTTAAAGTTTTATAGAAACTCTAAAAATATATATTTGTTTAGTGTGATATAGTTTTATTGAAAATAAAATAGGTAATTTGTGATAGAGTTTTATAGAAATTATTTTATTTTCTTTAATTATATCCTTGTCTAATTAGATTTAATTTTGCTAAGAAACTCATAATAAAAGTTAATTTATGGTAGAGTTTTAGAAAAATTATTTTGTTTTATATATCAATTAATAAATATTTTTATATTAATAATTCTTGTCTAATTAGATTTTCTTTTATTAAAAAATTCATAATAATAAATAGATAAATAGGTTAATTTATGGACTATTTGGTCGAGCACAATTGATTATACATTGAATTTTAATTTTATTAGGTAATTTTGAGTTTTATAGAATTTATATTGTGGGATATAATAATTAATGAGAGCTCTTTATTGTGAATTAAACTCTTTTTATA